TGTGTGTGTGTGTGTGTGTGTGTGTGTGGGTGTGTGTGTGTGTGTGTGTGTGTGAACGTGGCTGCTGCTGCCGTCAAGCTCCTGGCGTTGACACGGTAAACTGATACTAAGGGGTCTGAGAAGGGAAATGTCTCCCCGCCACACACACATACACACATACACACATACGTATATACACGCATGCACACACACTCCAGAGGGAGAGGAGAGCACTGGAGGAGCGGCACTCACACGGAGATTGAGTTACAGCTGAATTAGATCTGAGCTGTGGGAACCAGCACCTTCCTTTAGACACACACACACACACACACACACACACGTGTTGTCCCTCCTTGACAACATAGACGCGCTGGGACACACGCCGAGATGATGCGGTATGTGTACACATTCTCACACACACACCACTTATAAACAAACACACGGTCGTGAACAGATGCAGGCGGACCCTCACGAAAAAACACACACACACACACACACACAAACATGACATCAATGAAAAACGATGTGATCCAACGAATAAAGAGCATGTAAGATGACAGACTGTGTGTGTTTGTGTGCGGCGGGATTAACGGACATAATCATAAACACAGATATTGATGTGTAAACACAAACACACATTTCTGTCCCCCGTTGACACCGGAGAGGCGGAAGCCGGAGGCAGCAGGTTTATAACTGGCGCAAACACCGCCATGCACAATGTGTGTATGTGTGTGTGAGTGTGAGAGAATATGTGTGTTTTGATCGTGTTGGCCTTGACTTGGAGATGGTGGCCCCAAATAAAGCAAGGCTGAAAAGGAAAAGGACAGAAGAGAGGCCACCACCACCACAAGCCAGTAAACTCTCCACATCTTAATTGCCCTTTCGTTTTCACATGGTAATGCCTTTTCCTTACAAGTATGTGTATGTGTGTGTGTGCGTGTTTATTTGTGTGCCCATGCCAGGTTCACACAGCAAAGCCCGCCAGAATGCCATAAACACACACTCTGCTGCCCCAAGCTCCATTGTACACACACCGCCGGATGGAAGGATGGATGGAGCATTTCCACCCCCACATACACCCTTTTTATTTCATCAACCAATGTTTCCCATCACCCCCCCTCCTGCTCAGTCACTCCTTCCTAAAGTCTTCTGACGTTTTAGTGAGTAAAGGACCTCTCCGGGTAGCTTTTTCTTAATCGTTTCATATAGCAGTTCTTACAGAGGATCTTTCTAACAGACTATATTGTTCTATTTCAACAAACTGAGAGCAATGAGAGGAGAGGTTGGGCTTTTACTTTTTCTGCGTCAGGTCACTTGAGATGTGAACTGCTTTTACTTTTCGCAAACAACACATTTCTTTTCCGGTTTTCACTATTTTGTTTAACTGGTGAAAATATATGAGAATAACTCTACCAACTATTTTCAACACTGATTATTGTCCTATGGGAGAAGCTACATCAGCTGTGCAGGATTGCATAAACTCTTCATCCTCTTAACTTTTATTTCTTACTTCTAAAAAACAGTCTTTAGTATTGTTATTATTCCACTTCATGTTTACAGAACAAATATGAAATATGAAACAGCTGAAAAACTCATGCTTCATGTTTTTTTGTGACGTTCAACAGGTGATTTAGTGGTCTTAGGAGAGATGAATTAAAAAAAACAATAGACAAAATCAAGCAGCAGATGCTGAGTTATCCTGACTTTTAGTCCCTCGAAAAGCACTGGATCCTAAAATAATGCAACACAAACGCAGAGAGCATCTTTCTTTAGAACTTGCCTGCCTGTTAAATAGCCTCATATTTCAAACCCAGTTTACAATGCAGGCTTTCTGTCTAAAAATATTTGAAGTCTCAAACATCAAGACTTCCTCAAACTCCCTCAGGAGCCACAGAAGACATTATACAACAGTTTTCACAGGATCAACATGACAAACTAACTAACCGCTGTGTGAAAAAAATTAGTGGAGCGCCCCTTTAATGGTGGAACAATGAGAGTTGATTAGACAGGAACAAAACAGTTCAACTGTATAAAACTGTAGCTCTGTCACATCAAAGTGAGTGTTAAAGCTGCTGTGTAAATGCAGGCCATGAGCAGTGCCGCATAAAGTTATCCTGCAGAGAAAACTTTGTGCATGCAAGCTTCATTTGTCTCAACACCGGTGCGGGGTGATAATAGACATCAGAGAATAATCTTCTCCGTTAATGTTTGCTCTCCTTTCGACCTCTGAGGGGCCTCGCTGTGAAGCATCGAGCCATTACACAGAACCATAAAGGGCCGTTATGATGTGAAGGTGGAAACCACCCACACACACACACACACACACAGAAACTTCTTTTCCACAGGGGTTACCCTGTTGACAGGAGCAGCTGTGACCACATACCTGTCTCTCCACCTTAGATGTTTTAATGTCCAACCCACCACACAGACCCCCCCCCCCACCCACCCCGCCGCCAAAACGTCCCCTTACAACAACCAACACACACACTTGCACTATGCCGCCATCCGTTTAGACCCGTCCCCGTGGACGAGAGCTCCAGGAGCACCAGGGGAGAGAGAGGGGAGTGCAAACAAACTCACCCCAGGTCCGGGGCTCCGGTTTCAGCCTTCCGTCCGCCGTGGCTGGGGGGCCATGGGAACACGAAGCGCCAGGGGCCCTGTGTCAATAAGGAGCAGTGGTTCAACACAATGGGGGCCTGCCTGCAGACAACACCGCTGACAGACAACCACACAAAAGGGCCTGTGAATGGGAAGGAGGCTCATGCACACACACACACACGCATGCACGTGAACACACAGACACACATAGGAAAGAATAGAGCAGTGTGTGTGGTTGCCCACAAGGCCAATGTTTGATGACTGCTTCTGTGTGTGTACACATACACTCAAAGACACATGCCCATGCAGACATAAACACCCTGTAATAAACTGAGGACTGTGCAACGTTTGAATTGACGGTACTGCATGTACCACAGAAAATCTGTGTGACAAACACAGATCTGAAGATTTTCCTTTTTATGCATTCTTTGCTTTTGTTTCAGTCAAAGAGCTCAAATTCATTCGTTCAGATAAAACAAGATAAATTGTGACAGAAACATGGACCATCAGATACCTAATCGGTCCGTGTACACCAGTCTGTGCTCCTAAAGGAAGTTTTCATTCTTTTCATGCGTGCTTCAGAATAGGAAGAGCTAATCTGATTTCATACCGTAAATGTGTGTACACGACTACCTGAGCAGCACTGATGTTTGGCTGTATGTCTCTGATGTCTGAATATTATGATGTAACAAGTAATTAAAACGGAAATACATCTGACAGATGTTTAGGTTTGGCCCTGCTGTCATATTGTAGAATATCTCTGAAACACTTTAGTGGCAGAGGACACATTTCATGTAGGCCTATATGGGCTACTTGACACTTCAAATAAAGTTTTACGTTTAGCATTTTTAAGTCCAGACACTCACTTTAAATGGCCTCTGCTCTGTCACTGGTGCAGATTGGACTCCAGTGAGAACAAATGCGCTTTATAATCCAGCATGGAACAGCATGGTTTTATAGAGACTTTATGAAACTATTAATTCCCAAAATGAATGTTTTCTGGGATTATTTATCCATGTATCCGTTTTGAAAGGAGTTATTGTGTTCGTTAGCCGTCAGCTGACGACGAGGGCAAGATTTCTCCCAAGATGCATTGGGTTTAGTCGTCGGTGAATCGGAGGCTGTGTTTTGCTGACTTGGCATGTGTGCGTAAAGGTGCGTTCGCACCTTGGTGATCTCAGAGGCCACGCAAAATGGAAACACTTACACCCCATCCTAGTGTCATGTAGATCTGTGCTTGTGCAGCACCCGACATACTGCGCGTAATATCGTGTGATAAATAATGTGCAGATTAGCTTTTGCGCACGTGAACAAGAAATAATAAACAAGTAATAAGAAATACATTTATTTGGCTTCTTAAAATGGGAAAGGGCAGGAAGTGACATCAAAAGAAAAGCAGCCTCATTGCCCTTAATGAATAACCAGGGCCTTGTATGGAAGCAGGACCTTTATATGGCCTTGTTCTTTGTTTTACATGCGGCTGTCTATACATAAACACACCACTCCTCTAGCTTATATTACTCACTCACCATCCAAAATAATTTAACCAAATTCTAAGCCAATGATCATTGGCTTAGAATCACTGCTTGTATTTGAGGATTCATACATTCAAAATAAATGTACATACAATTGTTACTGGCATACCAAATGTGTAAAGAGGAACATTCTTCCATCTCGTGGTCCCACTGTGTTGACTGTTGGACAGTGCAGAAGAAATGTGAAGAGAAGTGCTGCCACCTGGTGTCGGCACAGACACAAAGCCAAATGAGGGTTTAGTTCTGAGTGTTAGCAGCAGATGGCAGCACTTTGGCCTTTAGAGAGAGGGGTGGGTTCATGGTGCTCTAAAACCTTTCTATTATAACGTCATTTCTGTGCAGGACTATCAGAGAAAATCTGATTTAATCTGATTAAGTGATGGAACATCAGAGGCTGTTTGATCTCTTTTTCTTATATATTCATATTCACATAATCACAACAGCTAATGCAGAAGTTAATTTTGCTCTGCAGTGTTTGAAAAATGATAATAATATAGAGCATGAGTTGTAACTGTAGACTAAATTGGTAGTTTTTTGTGCAAGTGTAGTCATTTTTAAAATTTGAGGACGAACATACCATTTATGACGATATAAAACTACTGAAATGTTTTGACAGTTTGCATAAGGACTCACAAAAATGAAAAAAAATTGAATTGATCAACTGAAAGTATCGTAATCCATTAACTCAATGCAATATTAGTTCAACTGGTTTTATACATAGAAACAACTGGTTCATAGTCTGAGCTGCATGTCTTTGGGTGGTTTTGGAGAGAAAAGGTTTGCTGCTTCGAGTGTTAAATAGATGTGGAGAGAGAAAGGCTCGTTCTGACCATCATCAGAGGAGCAAAGGGCTCACTGCAAGGAAATAAGTGGACACAAAGGTTAAAGCAATATCAAAGTTTTATTCTTAAAATGTAGTATAGAGAGGAACAGTAGTACAATTCAGACAGAAAAAAGGAGAATGTAGTCCCATCTTTGAAAACCTTTGATAAAAACGTAAAAAGAGTAACCTGAATTTGCTTTGTGTTCGGAGGGCACTGAGGCGCGGCCCAAGTTTTGCATCGCTGTTAAAGTTCGAGAGAAATTGAAAAATACAACCTTTTGCAACAGCGTAAAAAAATACAGCTGGGGAAAAAAAACCTCTGCTTTTAAATCTGTAGTGTTTTTGCTTCGTTTTTTGCGTTGGTTTTTCTTTTTTTTGTCCATATAACAAATACAGCATAAAATCTAAAATGATACATCATAGTTTTGAGTTTCATTCATTACAGTAAAATCAGTAGGATGGTATAGTATCAAAAGAACAAACAAGACAACAGGATGGTGTAATGAGCAAGCACACAGCGTGAACAGAGAGCCAGAGAGGAAGGATAAAGCTCACGGAAATAAACCACCAGGCCAGTAGGTTTGGAGCTGACCGTTAATGTGATCCATTAAGTAAATCCACTGGTTAAATAATATATTCTTCATATATATATATATTTATATATATATATATTTATCTCATATAATCTCCACATAGATATATATATCCGTAACATAACCCCTCCCACAGTGATTTGAAGGTAAAAGTGACAGGAAGAGGCTGAATATCTCTACGACTTAAAATATATCTTCTTCCACTGAGAGTAAAGGGAGGTTACACATCTTCTGCATCATTAGCACGTCACTATATACTGTATACTCCACTGCATATGAACAGATACTGCTGTTCCAAGGTTTCAACCCGCAAAACAATCCGTGTTTCTTTAGAAAATATGTGCTTAATGAAATAACAAAAGGAGAAAAAGGAAACATCTGTGGAAAAAAAAAAAAGGACAAAATTAAACAAAAATATGTATCCAGGGTAAAGTGAATGATTCTGTAGCATAAAAACATTTAAAAAATCTCAACAAATTACAGACACGAGCAAGGATTCTCTACACGAAGCAAGTTTTCACCTGGCTTTTCTCATACAATAATTAAAAACAACAATTTTGGTTGGACAAATAGAAATTAACAGTCTTGATTGCATTTTGGAGTCAATATATAATATTAAATAACAAAAAACAAAATGTCTAATAAAAAAAAAAAGTTGCGCATTGGAAGAAAGACAACAGTTTATATAGCTCCATTCAGACCCGCTTTTTGGGGAAGCGAAGAAACATTAAAAAAAAAATGATTTTCATGAACACAAAAGTAAGTGCGTGTCTATGAGGCGCCATAGAGCTTCACTTCCTGTGGAACAAAGTTTTTCTACCTGGCAGACTGAAAGAAACAAAAACAAACCTACATCAAATCAAACCGGTGACATTGTGTTGAACTTTTACACATGGAAAATGGAGTCCTGTCAGACTTTAAAATCACACATCATGACTTTCTTCCCAACGTTCAAGTGATTCAAAATATATATTTATATAATGTATTTACTGTATAACTCAGTACCAAATATAAACAAACGTATACAGGTATTGATGTCCTCTTAGGTCCTCAAAATGTCAATTACAAGTACTGCCGGTAGTTCTACAAAATGGTATGCGCGTGAGCGCGTGTGTGTGTGTGTGCGCATTCAATAAAATAAAAAGCTTCAAAACAATGGCAAAGCATACCTGATAGTCGCCGTAGCACAACAGTGTTCTATAGTTTAAGCTGATTACATATGTATAACTGAGTCAGTTTAAGCTTCATGATTATAAACATCATTATAGCCTGTAGGTCCAGTATTCTGCGACAAGCATTACAGCACCAAACGTTTCGTCATTTGGCAAAATTCAAGCTTTAAGTGAAAGTCAAATGCTTTTGTTTAATAATAATAAAGTGTTACTGTGACGCTGTGATTTGTATAAAGCTAGCAATAACATTTCCCCTTGTACTTTCGCTTTTTTTTTTTTTAATTCATCTTTTTTCCCGCTTAACAAAAAACCCTCACGTTGTGTCTCTCTCTCTCTCTCTCATATTTTTTCTAAGCGTATTCAGTAGTTTTTGCTTCCTGCTAAATCTTGGTGTGCGGTCTGTTTGGCACAATATCACAGCCCTCTTAAATTAATCATAAATATGGCCGTGATACTTTAGAGTCGCAAAACAGATTTTTTTGGTTCCAAGATTCGTACAGGGAAAGGAAAAAAAAAGAAATTTGAAAAGAATAATATAACATTTAGCGCATCTAAACTAGTTCTACAGAGCAAGTTAAAAATCTTCCTGTGGACAATAATGCTCTTCTTCTGTGTACTTCTACAAGCACTAAGCAGTAGACTTTCAGATTGTGCAGAAAGCAACACCTGCGCCTCTGCTCGCAGACAAAAACAACAAAAAAATTATCGCTAAGACCATAATAACCTCTCTTCATAAATTAAATAATTAACATTTTGCTTTTCTTTTTTAGATTGATTGGCCTACCCCAACTCAAAAACTACATCATCACCCCTGCCCAACTCCCCCCCCCCCCGAAAAACAGGAAATAAAAATACATCACCAAAAACCTGATTTATCATATTATTCGTGGATAGAATCGTTCTTTCGTGGGCTCTGGGCCTAGAGTTGGACACATTTAACAATAATAAAATCTGTACATCTTGGAGTTCCCACTACGAAAGCTTTTTTTGTTTTTTTAAATCCATCTCTTTGTCATATACTTGCACAATTAAGTAACCTCGAGGTTTGATAGCACTTTGGAGTTGATTGTTTACCAGCTAGTTTTTGTATACATATATATTAAACATCAACTTTTTTTGTTTGTTTCGTTTCTCAAGCGTGTTAAAATTCTTAGTCCTCGTCGGGGGCAGCACCAGCGTTGCCCTCGCCCCAATTTGATTGGTCGTTGTCGGTAGGCTCCTCCCCATCCAGGTCCTCCCCTTCCTCGCCCTCGAAGTCTTCGTCGCGAGGGAACTCCATGCCCTCCAGGCCCTCCTGAGTGGCCTGGTGCGAGTCAGCGCAGTCCGCACACACACCGTAGCGCCGCGAGCCGTGACGGATCCCGACGCTGGCTGCAAGCATGAAGATCTTCTTGCACACCATGCACTTGTACTTTTTGTCCTTCTTGTGCACCTGTAAGAGAGACGGGGAGTCAGGTGGGTTGCCTTTTGAAGTTTGGATCCACTATTCCTTTAAATCACAAGTTGAAGTCACATTGACAGTTTTTGGGGAAATACGCTTAAATGCTTTCTTGCCGAGTTCGATGAGAAAATTGATACGACTGTACACAAAATGTGAAGCTACCACTAGCAGAGAGTTAGCTTAGCATAGAGGGGAAGGAGGAGACACTTTGCTGACACCACTTGATTTATAATCCATTTGTTTTGTACCACTTTGTGAAAGACTGAGGCTACATCCACACTACTACGTTTCCATTTAAAACCAGGGTTTCAGCATCGTATACTGGCACGCCTGAAAACCAATATCACATGACTATAGACAGTCTTAAAATGGAAACCTATCAGTGTGTATGTAGCCTGAGATGCTACATACATTAAAAAAAAAATTTGATATCATAGCCATAAATTCCTGCTTTTAAAAATACCTCACTCCCTCTCCCGAGGCAAAAAGCTCCCAGACACAAACCACGAGGTGGAGTGCAAAGGCGGGAGTTAGTTTATTTATTGAGATCCCCATTAGCTACTTTACTGCAACGGGAGCTACTCTTCCTGGGGTGAGGCGGGCACAAGATGGTGGATGCACATCACATGGTTGGTCTCAAAGAGAGGAGAGGGGACTCACCAGGGAATGTCTCTTTACGTGCTCGCGGCGGGTGAACAGCTTGCCACAGATGTCGCAGCTGAAGGAGCGCACGCCCGAGTGGATGATCAGGTGCCTCTTGAGCGTGCGCCGGTGCTTGGCGATGTAGTTACAGTGCGGGCACTTGAGCTTATTGAGGGCTAGGTGTGCGGTCTCACCTGGTTAGAGGTAGAGAGAAAAGACATGCAGAGATTTAGTAACATGTTTTAGTTTATCGTAGAATTACAGCTTAAAAAAAAACAAAAAACACAGCCATGGTTTGTTCTTTGAGTTTCAATTTGACTGGAAGAACAAACTGGAAATCAGAGAAGATATTGATCATTCGTTTGCATCTATAGATCCTCTAATGAGAGAGGACCAATATCCTGTTTATCAAATCACAGAGTTAGATCGCAGTAGCCATTAGAGAGAACACACCGCAAGCTGATGCATCACAAAAAACCCTTTAGTCAGAGTTTGTTTAACTGATCACTGTGGCAGCTACGTAAACTTCCCGATCAGCTGTGTGCCTGTTTCCAGCCGACTCCGGGTTTATACTAGCAGCGAGTGTGAAGACAACTTGGATCTACATCGACATAATAAAGCAGTTTGGTGGAAGATAACTTGAGAAATCAGCATCGTCAATGTAACGGTTTCAATAAAGAGGTAAAACTAATAATGTGATGACTTAAACTCATTAAATTAAACTTTACATGAACCACAATACTGTAATTCTACAGCAACGTTCTGCAAAACTGTCAAAGTGCTCACGATTCTGGACATCAAAGACAATAACAAAACACCACCTTCCTGCATCCTCCATCAATCCTGACCACTACACGACATAACGCGAGGATGATCACGTTTCTTTATTTCAGAGTCTCAAATAAATCAAGATGTCCTCACACCAGCACCGTCTCCATTAACCCTCTCTGGATGTTTGTGCCAAGAAGCTACTGAGGACAGCTGGGCTTCCCAATAACTAACCAATGTATTGATTTTGAAAAGACTCCAGAGTGGATGGTCTTCAGTGTTGAGTGAGTGGGGGGGGGGGGGGGGGGCGACAAGGCCGAGCCTTTTGTTTGAGCACACAACAGAGGAGTTGTTACGGCAGGTTGCTAAGGGGAGTAGTGAGGAGGAAGGGTTGATGAGAAGCAGGTCACCTGTCTGTGTGTGTGTGTGTGTGTGTGTGTGTGTGTGTGTCTGTGTCTGTGTGTGTGTGTGGTACACCTTATGGATGTTCACTTAGGCTTTAGGATGAAATTGTATTTTCACGATCTGGCTTTACAAATACAACGCAGACGAAAATATTCTTGAGCAGTTCTGAATTTGAACTAAATATTAAAAAAAAAAAAAAAAAAAAAGTATTTTTTTAATACACTATAATTATATGGTTGTAGATACAACCTTGAGGACCATTCTGAACCCCAAAGCTGTTTCACCACCATCTTAGGTCGACATTTTTCCAGGTATGAGAAGCTACTCCGTTGCCTTTGTGCAATGAATTGTGGGAAAGTAGTGTCAATCAACAGCACACTTAAACATCAGGTGTTTCTTCTGTATGCATGCTGTCAATTTTGAGTATTCTTCATTTTGATACTCTGCATACTAACATACATACTTATAATTAGTGTGTAGTATTGAATTAGGACACAAAGCCTTGTGTACTGTAGACAATGACCGTCTACTTCTAAGACACACTGGCTTCCCCGCCACCCAAATGATTCAAATCTATGATTTTTGGCCTATATGAATACAATCGGCTTCAACCACTCATTTTCTATATTTTGTAAATATATTGACATGAGGATAGCACGATCATTTAGTGCAGCAGGGTCATGCAGGTCCATTATGCATTTATAACCACAATTATAAACAGAAACAGTGTGTTCGTCTGCTGTCGTATTCAAGGAGAACTACTGACTGGACTGCCCACACTCAGCGGAGAAGATGCATTTTAGTTAAAAGATTTAAAGTCTCATTGAAGCAGCATTAGTCTAGAGAGAGCGGCTTCTTACCATTCTCCCAGGACTCCCCTTGCTGGATGATGCTATACTGGATCTGATTGGCCAGCTCTGGGAAAGGGGGAGGGGGGGGGGGGGGAGGAGAGAAGCGAGAGGGGGAAAGAGAGATGAGGGGGGGCGGGGGGTTGGGGGGGGGGGGGCACGCCTCACAACGCCCTGTGTACACAACTAACCACCCCCCACATGGAACAATGGAAGTTCCAGTTAACAACGTAGGCAAACAAACACACACACACACACACACACACACACACACACACACACGGGTCCCTACTATATGTAAAGCGGTGTGTTCCCCAGGCCGGGGCAACAAACTATGGTGTAACCAGGGCTCCAGCAGGGAGGGAGTTAATTAGAGTAGAGCCCTCACTCCGGCTCAGCTTACACTCAGCTTTTGTAAGCACTTGTGTGGGAGCACCTGTGTGTGAGTGTGTGTGTGTGTGTCCGGTTCCTCCAGCATCAGAGCTTGGAGCCCATTAAAGACACGCCCCTGCGAGTGCGTGTGTGCGAGTCCATTCTCCCTGGGTCAATATTTGGAATAGTGAGGACAGCCCCAGTGCATTAGAGTGGATTAGGGAGTGAAGGGACTGCCCATGGCGGCTTTGCACCTCGAAGGGCTCGGGGAGGTTATTGTGCGTGGGTGTGCACACTTCGACAGAGACTAGTGTATATGCAAATGTGTTGCACCTGCTCCGCGTGTCGGTGTGCAGCACGCACCCTTTCAAACAATCCGACAGTGTAGCTTGGAGAAGACCCAAGAATTTATTTGCCACGAGTGTTGACTGTTGGCTCAGTGTGGTTAGAGCAGACAGCGATGGCAAAGTACTTATATCGTGGAAACCAGCCTTCACTTTCAAATGTTATTTTCCACACGACACAGAGGATCATTCCTGTCACTCTGTAAACTACCTCCAATTGTTTCAGACAGTTTTTCCAGCAAAAGGAGATGTATATGATGGATAAAACCTCTAAAATGTGAAGGTTTTCTGCTATTCCCCGTCTTAGAATACCACCATGTGGGCTACTACGTTTCCATCCTCGGAGCATGACAGCACCGATCAAACGGAAGCGAAATGAAACCCAAACGAGTGACATCACTGTGGGAAACTGGGACAGCTCATACTGGTGGCTCATAGGCTCGGACAGAAATATGCAAGCCGGCTACGACTAATCGGGTAAGAGGGCCGTCTAGTTTCAGAGCGAGCCTCTCACAACCAGAGGAGGATTTGGTGCCTCGTCCTGATAAACCCTTTCTAGTGTCTCCTGCAAATCGCACACATTCTCATCTTTTTTTTGCTTTGTGAAGCAATATTTTGTGAAGGCATAACTAATATTTTAGACGTCATGTGACACATGTATCCAAAGAGAATCGCAACAAATGAGCACCGTGTGCAGCATGAGACGAGAGGCTGTGGGAACAAACTGAAAGCTTTTTGGCAAATGACTATCAGCCCATAAATGGTACTTGACCATCTTTTCATGTACATTCCAGAAGATGTAGACTGAAAATGGGCATTAATAGTTGGGTGCTCTAATGCTATAAGTACAGTAGACTCCATGACACTTGTGCAGAACATTACATACACACCACTGAGTCCCACTTCTTGCAAAGTAAAGAAGTCCTAAAACATGATGGCAGGGCTACACAGCTTTTGCGGTGTGGAGAAAAATATGAATACTTGAATATGATATTAAGCAGCTTTCACACACACCCACGGAGACGTTACCTACAGATAACAAGCAAACAACTATGTCAATGAAAACGGTCGGCTAAAAAATGTCTTCAGATTTAAAAACTGATGGACTCGATGCAGATTGAGGCATGGGAGCTGATTATGTCCTCACAGAAACATTCTGTTTGGCCTCCGTCTGTCTCACTTTGTCTTAACAGATGGACAGAGGGAAACGTATTAAACAAGTCATATACGCAGTACAAGCTCACTGATAAACAGCCCACAGAAATGAACGTAACTTCACCATTTGTTAATATTTCTGCTGCGCCAATTGTTCATTATTAGTGGCTAAATAAAGGTAATGTGTTGCCTATTGCTGCCTCAAATTCACCACCTCGCACACTTTTTAAACAACAGAGAGAGACACTTTTTTTACAATCGTATGCCCTTACAGAGGCCAAGTATTCACAGATCTATATTTAAACTGTTGACACTACACTGTGAGAGTGAATGAATGGATTGTTGAACACAGAACTATCATTTCAGGGTAAACAGTTTCCTTGAAACCTTTTACTGTGACTAACGGCCTACTTGAAGTCTGAACCATATCTTCACTTGGAAACTTGGTGTACATTAAGTAGAGACACGGAGCTAAACAACACAGCTCCTTGACGAGGGGAAGGTTGGAGAGTTAGCACGCCCTGCAGACAAACTAACTGAGGGCCTCTCCAGGCTATTACAACACCCTGGATCACTTTGTGCACACATTAATAAAGAGCCATAGGAGGAGCCGGAGGCACTAAGAGCATTCAAGTGCATTTAGGGAGGCCTGTGGGGAAGAAATGTTCCCTCTGCTTTCTTCATTTTCCTTATTAGAGGCGGCTTCTCTCCCTCTTGCGCACACAAAAATGAATATCTCTCTCTCCCTCTCCCTCTCCCCCCCTCTCTCTCTCTCTCTCTCTCTCTACCACTCCACTTAATATGTGATATCATTACGGTTACATGGAGCACTTAATGGGGCCAACAGAAGGAGATAGCTGGAGCTGAGAGAAGAGATTACTAAGAGCGCCTCACTGTATGCGTGTGGATGGGACGGACGGAGCGATGGCTAGATTACAGGACAGGAAGTGCAAGGTATCGAACAAGTGAAGGGAGAAGATGAAAGTTTTATCAAGCCAGATTTAAACATTCATTGATTGACGTTTTCGCATACCGCGTGTACTTTTAGGATACAGATGTGAACCATTAAATAGCTTCAGGACCATTGATTTGGGTTTAACCATTTAAAACATCTCAGCAGCGCTGTGGACGCACAAAGCACTGCAGGTGGGCGTGATTCTTGTTAGCCCCCCCGCTCTGGAGTGATTAGTGGAGATCATGGAGGAGGGACTCACTTCTTGGCTGTGCACAGCAGGTTAAAAGCTAGTTATACGCACATATCCTATTAAGTGTAAAAGCTTGGCACTGATCGAAACCTGAAAATCCATAACTTTTTGCAGCGTGATCAATACTTTGATCCACGTGATCATGCCAGTGATTCCCACAGCTGAGCTTGTATTAGCATCAAATCTGTGAACATGCATGTGACGTGATTAGATACGTCACTATATGGTGACCGATGACTCATTTAAATGAGGCAATGCTGCCACCAAGTACCAAAAGGTGCGACCGTCCAGTGCTGGATTAAAATTCGGCAAAACGTTAGAGGCTGGAAGACGACAAACAGAGGATCAAATACTGAAGCCACGTGACCGATCAGGGTGATCCTCTTCAGCCCCCCCCCCGGTGGGTAGAACATTACAAATGCATGATGTCAGGACCGGCATTGCTCAAATCTATTAAATAATTGTAAATACACAGTTTTTGCCAAAATATCAAATATTGGTGCAGCCATAAAAACAGAGTCCCAGTTTGTGTTTTAATTTAGCTTCAAGTAAACGTTGGAACGAGACAAAACCGAATCTCACAGTAGTCACAGTGTTTAGAGGTTAAACTGATGGAGGAGAGGGCGGGGCATAAGGCAGAGAGGCATCCGGCTAATGATGCTAACTGGTTATTATGTCCCCCCCCACTAGCAGTAGCTAAAGGCCAGGTTTGCAGACATTATTGCAATGCACAGAGTTAGATACAGTAGTTAGTTGAGGTGAAAGCTGAGCACATCTGCAAGCCAAGCAAGCAGTCACGCCTTTGAAACATAAACGCAGCAGTAAGTAACTCATGCCCGTCACATGTAGTTATGGTTCATAATTACCGTACGCCACAGCTGAATGCTCTACGCTGGGGCACAACATGCAATACAGAGGCCGCGATTATTGTGTCTGACCAGAGCTTTTCCGTACCGTATGTAGGAAAATATTATATTTCCATATCACACATACAGTGATTCACATTCAAGGGATTAGAAGTCACAGACATTCTGCATGCACCTCTTCCTTAAAAAGGGATCCTCTTCCTATTCTATTCTAATAGGAATAAGAATTTCATGAGTTAAAAGATATTCATATGTTATAAAGGGAAAGGACTTAGGAGGGGTTGCGAGAGTGAGAAGCGTGTTCAGACGTTCACATGTGTGTCGTACCAGCATTTTCGGAGAGGGAGGAGAAGTCCTCTCTGGTGTAGGAGGCAGAGGGCTGGATGAACATCCCCTCGTCAAATCCCTCCTCGGGCTCTGGTGGAAAGTTGTACACAAAACGCTTCGTGGTGGTCTGTTTTTTCCTCCGTCCGCTTCCTGCCGCGGCGTCCGGTGCTTCTCGCTTTATTGCTGCGGGTGCTGCTGCGGCGCCGCCCGTGGCTGGCTCGTTCCAGACGAACACCTGGCCACTCGCCGACCGCGTGTCATTGGTCTCTGCTGAATCGGACGAGTCGTTGTTGTGGTGGGTCCAGTTACCAGAGGCTCCGGGGGTCACCAGGGCACAGCCCTCGCCCCTAACCATTGTCACCTCTATATCGCTGCTCTCATCCTTCACCCTGCCAGTTTCGTCTTCTTCGTCCATCGCTTCCTTTCCTTGATTGTTGCTGGCCTTGATCGACAGATTCGACAGGATGCTTGTGGCCCAGAAGTTGCTTGGCTTGCGGTCCAGCCCTCTGAGGCCCTCTTTGGACACCGTCTGCCTCTTGTTGTAGTCCACCACCACAGAATCAGGGGCCTCCTGCTTGATGCTGATGTTCAGGGCGTCCTTTATAAAAGCCCTACATGAATGTACAACCTCCGACATTTGGAGGAAACTAGCGACAGACATCACCTCTATGGCATTTTGGCTTGTGAGCAGCAGATTCCCAGAGTAGAGAAAGTCGAGGATAACGGCGACGCCCTGCACAGCAGCAACATCCAGGTGTGTGACCGTGGCCTGGTCCTGGGCCTCGCCCTTGGTCAGACAGTAGAGGGTTTTGAAGTAGCGGCTGCCCGCCACCAGGATGTTCTTGTGTGCACGGAACACCCGGCCCGAGACGACGATGTTGACGTCGCAGAGGATGCCACTTTTGCGTTGCTTGTCCAGCTCCTGGAGAAGCTGGTAACAGTAGGAGTTCTCATTGGTCTTGTGGTGGTAGTCGTCCTCTGAGCAGTTAGTGGAGGTGCTGCCGTTGTCCGAGGGCCTCATCGTCTCCTTTTACATGAAAGAGAAGAAGAAATAATATTGAAGATGTGTGTTGCAAAAGTACCCGAAAAACGTACTTGCACACAAAAAATATATGTTTCCTCCTTGTAACTCTGTGAATAAATACGCACAACACCCTCGGGGCACCGGGCGTGCACTGCCCTAAGGGTGGAACAGGTTTGACAGGCTTCTGGTACGGAGGAGGTGGGAATGAAGCAATGAAAGGCGTGTTGCCTATTATTTTTAGGCTGGGTAGTATTACCTAACCCCCTAATCAAGTCCTTCTCTCCATTACATTTAAACTGCCAGTCCCAACACAAAAACTAACATATAGAAAGGGAATATGTTTTAGTACAAGCCATTGTAATTAATTGATTTGCTGTAGATTTTTAATTAATGATTTCCTCCTTTTCCAGAATGCATTTAGACAAACCCATGTGTCAAAACTGGCAACATTTTCAGTCAATCAAATGTTCAAAACAACAGCGACTCCTCCTCAAATGACAAAATGTCTTGTAGAGAAAACCTAAAGCCAACTGTAGAATATTTTAACCTATTAAATTCCATTCACGCTGTCCTACCAAAATCTCAACATGATGCCACTTTGCAATGGCATTTGTTCAGGTATCCAAGGCAAAAAAATCTAAATACACAGAATGCAAGGGACATCATCTATGGCTATATTCATAGACTTCTATGACCACTGTCCACCAAGAAATATCTTTTGAGGATTCTATTTCCTTTTTAGCGACAGCGAGGAATTTGTTTCATTTCCCAGGAGCATAATCTTAAGACTCTGAGACAATGATTAATGACTTCACGATCCAATTTGGCTTAGGTTATCACCCCCAAAGCTAGATTAGAAGATATTTTTGGCAAGATTCTAATACACATTCAGCACAATAAAATTCCCCCTTTCTTTGTTATTTGGAAGCTATATGTAATAATAATAATTAGACCTTGAGGAAGGCCGACTAATGTCCGAAGCAGGACACACCGTGGCTGTAGGACGGTAGGGGAACTGGCAGAAGCACAGAACACTCCCCCCCCCCCCTGCTCCCCCATAACAGGGCAATGGGCCAGCCTGGTACGGAGCAGAGAAGAGCATACGCACTGACAAAATACACAGCCCAGTAAAAAGCTAAAATTGCACGAGTAGAACTCCACGTTTCATTTCTACATTTAAAACACATACCCACACATGTGTGGCCTCATACATCTAGGGCTCATTTTTAGAATTGCACAGCAGATGTCCTAATCCAGAATAATTCACATTGCTCGAGCCCGGCATTTTTGCCCCCGCCCACCACCATTTCTGCTGCGCACACATGCATGCACACTCACAACCACACAGAAACCAAGCTGCCTACACGTACACACAGCTGGGGTTTCAGCTCGAGTAATTCAGATTAAATCCATTTCTCTGGAGGTCCCCCCCCACCCCTACCCCTACCCCTACCCCTACTCCCTCCACACTGCAGTGCTTGTCCTGGGCACACAGGACAGTATAGGGGGGCTTATCGTCCTCTGCCACAGCTGGAGGGAAGAGATGAGGAGAGATGGGATGGGATGAAATCAGGGGCAGAATGGATGAGATATAGAGAGCGGGCAAAGTGAACGTACTTTGCAGGCTGGACGAAATAAACAGGACAGAAAATAATAGAAGAAAAGAGCCGAATTGTAGAGTTCAGAATCAGAGTTGATAGAAATACGTGTGAAAAGATGATGAGAAATGGTTGGAGAATAAAAGAGAAAAGAGTGATAACTCACATACAAAGAAAAGAGAGAGTGAGAGCATGAGGCAGAGATTGAGAGAGAGAGACCTTGAGCCTCAAGAAGAAGGGCGGAGGGAAAAATGTGGAGCAGAGAGGAGTTGGGTCACCCCATTTTAGCCTTCACAATAGCCCGTGTTCTCCCCGAGGCTCATTGTCCACTCACTGTAGGCCTTTGTGAAAGGGTTTCAGCACTCACTCTCTTATTACACAGCAGCTCCCACTCACAAGCATAGAAAAGGAGCCGGAGTGCGTGTGTGGGTGAGACGAAAAGGATGGGGAGGGAGAAGAAAAACTATTCCATGATATACACATCAAAGCCTCTGGAGGGGCATGGTCATCATGTCGAGTGCTGTGGTGGAATATATTGACGGGGTGAAGGGCAGGAGTGCAATCACAACAATAGGTGCTGGATACGCTACCAAGTGAGATTACATGCAGATTTTCCTGTTTTGCTTTTGTCCATCGCTCTCGTCTTGAGAGGTTTTTAGAGCAAACGCGCTTTTACTCGCTGGGCGAATCGTGAGATGAAAACAACTTCAAACACAGTCAGTAGACGGTGAAAAAAAAGAGCAAATATGTTGTAAATTTAGCAAAAAAACAAGTGCTTTCAGACTTGGTATTTGTAGTCTCATTTTATAATTTCGATCTGCCCATCCCACCCCCAAACCTCCTGACTCCCCACAGCTTTTATCCATTACACATAGCAAGGCAATAGCCCAAAGAGGTAAGACTTTGCCTGGCATTTCTGATACAAGCTGTGTGTGTGTGCGCGCGTGTGTGTGCTTATTGGAGTCAGGTTCGGACAGCCTGGTACTGGATAAGTTGCACCATACTGGCCTCATCAGCATCATCCTTTCTCCAGATGTGCCACGTGTGAGCTGGGAGCTTAGAGAACCAGCAGACCAACCCTGCACAGCAGATGCTGGAGGCAAAACCAGCCTGAGCCATGAGAGAATGTGGGGACAATATCAACCTCCCCCAGTTGTGACGTGGCTAGGGTTTTTATTTGAGCCAGAGATGGTAGGGGTGGAAGAATGAGAGTGCAAGAGGGTGCTGGGAAACAAAAATGGATGCTTCAAAATCTACGGTGAATGGCCAATAAGAACAGATTTACAGGTGGATTAAACAAACTAAAGATGGCCGCAAAGTCAAGCTTATTGAAGCGCTGGCGTCAGTCAGACACACCTCTGGTGGATCATGTGATACAACACTGTCCCCATGAAACATAATGACTCACTGGAGACAGTTTTTGTTTACTCTTTTACACACACACACAAACATTTGCCTCCAACCCCTGACTTGTCTACCCCCCACCCTCTATCAATCCAGTCCCATGACCAGCCCAGCCCTAAGGCCGTATCCACCGGTCCTTCGCTAACTCCCTACATCTACTGTACCACCCCCACCCACCCCATCGTCTGTACCCAGATGCCAGAACAATACTGCAGTGTGTGTTTGGCCCAAGGTGTGGGAGGGCTGCACCGAGTGTCTCCCAGCCTCCTAACAATGCTCTGACAGAAGAGGCAGAGATAGGGGGGGGAAGAAAACGAAGGGGAGGGTAGAGTCACTGACGAATTCAACAAGAAGAATTCTCCCTCTGGCTCCACCCCACCCCATTCCCCTGACCTGTGGCCCCCAATAAACATCCCATCTTCTGGCAGACACTAGAACGCCATGGGTGGGTCCCAATTCCCATTCGGGGGGGGACTCGCTCTAAACAATAAGTGAGATTGTCTTGACTAAAATGAGGGGGTGAAATAACTTGTAATGATCCAGAGTATCTGAAAAACATTTGTTGAATATTGCAGGAGTTTGGTGAACAGGTGTCTGTATTACGGATGGATTTTTATTTAAAAAGTAGAGACAAGAAAGCACTTCAGTGGATGAGAGAGAAATAGTTTATGGAGAGGCTGGATAAAGAGACAACTGAAAATGAAATTAACTTTGTGTGGTAATTATGCAACGTACCTGTATATGTATATGAAACATATGTAGATAAGAGTTCTCCCCTGTGTGTGGTGTTGATATACTGAAGATTACTCTGTTACAACCGATGTGGGTTTGTCACATAACCTTTTACCCATTTGTGAACAAAGGGAAAAACTAATTAAATTGATTTCTATAGATCTCAGATATGTGATCTCAAATTTGATCGAAGGGAAACAATGGTCTACTTTTGCCTCATCCTAACCTGTTACCAGTGAGCAGAGGGAACAATTTGAGCACAAGACAGCATCTAGAGAATTAAGGACAACGGCCCCCTTTCTCCGAGGAGACCCACATTTACCACAGCTGCCCTGGTATGCTAGAGCTAATCAAGTTAGCTTTAACGAATGCAGCAGAGGCCTGACTACCAGCAGGAATGGGTGAATAGAACAAGACGTTCACTCATAACATAATTCTCCTTTAATGTACTGCTTCACAATACTACCTCGCTTAACATAAACTGCTGCTGTTCATTATTTCAACAGTGCTATTTCAACAGCACTGTATATATTTCCAATAACGCAGCACTGGGCCTTTATTGTCCCAGCTCTATTCTACACGAGGACATGGATTGGATAACCTCTGTGTCTGGGGTCCTTGTTGCTAAGGAGAAGCCACACCAAGCCCCTAATCCACCGTTACAGCCCTCCTTACCAATTAGAGATGTGCACAAGTTAGATCACTTTAAGTCATTCTGATTAGTGATTGCGTGTGCAAAGGAAGGAACTAAATGTAGTAGTGCAATCCTCTTCACTCACAAATTAGAGTCCAATAGCACCCGGCTCTTAATTCCCCTGACAGCCCAGACCATTGTCAGGTAGGAGGTTGTGTGTGGAAAGGAGCAAAGGAACAGAAGTAACACATGGTTTTCTTTTTCTCTTCTGAATAAGGATTGATGGCAGAAATGCCCTTTGACACCAGATTGTTAACGCAAATATGCACTCCCTGTTTTTACGAGGTCTCTGAAGGAGTACTGTAGAAATGTTGCCGACACTGCAATCAAAATAATGAACCAATAAAAAGACCTCATGCACGTCAATAGACAGTTCCAATATGGTTGTTTTGGATTATAAGCAATCGATGTACTGATACCGTCAATACCTTTATACCTCAAGCTTGGGGTAAAAACAGTCTCCATTAATTCAGAAATACGTAAGTGACAGAGTCGGGTGATGCCGTGTCGTTCCATTTACTGACATCCATTTCACTAATTCATGTCTATTCATGTGGGCCAGGCGAGCTGTCAAGGCTCCAGGCAACTTGATTTACTCTCCTCTTGTCCAGCCCTGCAAGTGACACCATGTATGGATTTTGGGGGGGGGGGTCATTCTAGCACAATGCCTCTAATTTAGCTCCCCGAAAGGGAGGAGGAGGTGGAGGAGGAAGAAATGCACCAGAGGTCACCCGGGACTGAAGCCAGGAGGACGGCATGATGAGAGGCCAAGAGGAGGGAGGAGGGGGAGGGAAGGGGTGCGGTTCCCCAAAGGCTACTAGGGTCGAGCCCTTGCTATTGTGTGACCTCTAGCAAGCTAGCAATCAAGACAGTTGCAACACAGGAGTTTGCTGTACTTCGTTACATTGTGTGCATCTTTTAAAATAAAATAGTCCCCAACACTTACACTTTTTCTTATTCTTTATTACTTATTAGGTAGTTCAAAACGATTTAAAGTTGTGTGACATGCAATGAATGCTTCATTCTGAACAGTCTCCTGTGTGATGGTAGCAAGCAGGTGTCACACTGGAGGTTTGCAACTTGCCTGATAAGTTCGCAGACACTTTTTATTATGGACGGCAACTGATTTGGAGAGATTTGTGTCACTCACGCTGATAAGTGGTTTGGGGTCTTTTCACCGTTCAATACCAGTTAGTCGACGTTAGCCTCGTTAGGAGCTTTCAAACACCGTCTCTGCTCACCTACCTCCGGCTACAGCAGAGCTACGAGCGGCTAAACTAGCCGTTAGCTCAGGTTAGCCGGCTGATGCTAGCCAATCAGCCAGGAGAAGGGATTGTGAAGATTAACTAAAAGCCTATTCTCGCCTTTCGCTATGTTTGAGAAGTTGTAGAAACTAGTCGTCGTTAGTGACAAACAAAAACAGACTTCGACACAGTGAAACATGTGCGACAGGTATATAATGTTATAGGTAACGAGGCTAACGTTACCTGTTTGGTGGGGTCGTTCCTCCCGTGCTCGGACGACAGGTGATGTCTCAGCAGCAAGGCCCGCTTGTAGTTGCGACTGCCTTTGACAAGCTCGTCGCTGTTTTTAGTGGCAATGTTGTGACACCACGAACAGGACATAAGTCCCGTCTCCTGGCAGAATTTGAGCCATGGGAATTCTTGCAGCCACTTAGCGTGGAATAACGAGTGTTTCTGAAGCAGCGTCTTCGGTCTCATCTCTACCCCAGACTTCCTGGATCCCGACTCGCCCACATTAGTCGCAGCGCTTCCCGACTCTTGGCCGTCGTCGTCGGCCTCGTTGGGACAGTTTCCCTCCGTCAAGCTGTTCCCGTCCTCCGCTTCCACTGAGCCGACACGGTCATCGCCGTCCCCGGCTGCCGAGCTGCCCTCTTCCGGGTCCTCTTCTTCCTCCTCCGCCTCGGGTTCCGTGCTATCGCTGATAGACCCAGCGCCCTCCACTCTCTTCTGCGATGATCCTTTAGCCCCCAGATCGCTGTCCTCCTCTTGATCCGGCCTGTTCCCGTTAAAATGTCGGTCTTGACAGGCCGGGGCCTCCCAGCTGTTACGGTTCCCCTCAGCGATACCGCTGGAACCCGTTAACCCAGCTAATCCAGCTCCTCGGAAAGCCAGCGACCTGCGGTTTCTCTCACCGGACATTTTTCTTTAATATATATTAGAATCACTTTCTCAACAGCAGTCCACCTCCGACACAAAATATATTTAGAAACGATGTATTGTCCGGAAGAGATGGACTGTCGTCGTTGCGTTTTCTCCGATTTTGGCCCTCCCGGTGAGAGAATGTAGGTTATGCGGAAATAAATAAAGGTTTTAAACGCATAATGAATTTCAGGGTTCTCGCTGCGTCCGCGCAGGCCCCGCAGAGGTCGAATGGCAACGACTTTCTTCCCCACAATGCACCTCGACCAGAGAAAGGGGGGTTGGAGAGGGAGGGGGCGGCATTTAAAGGAAGATGGGGATCTGTTGATCAGCAAGGGGTCTTTTGTTTTTGGAGGCTGCACCCATTTTATGTAATTATATATGTGTGCATTAATTGTGATATTTAATTGAAATAAAAAAATGCTCAATATCAACACTCCATTAAAGTAATACTTTTTTTTTCTGAGACCAGAGCATAAAGCATAATATAGAGTGTATGTCACCATATCTTAGTTTATAGTATATGTGCTGTTTCTATTTCTCATCATGGGATATATGTGTTAAATATTAAATAAATATTGACAGGTATAATATAATAATTAAACTTGTGTGATTTTAATGAAGTCATGTGATGATGTGTGATCATGAAGATGTGTAAATAACAACCTCTGCAGACCAGCGAGATGTTCCAGCCTAGAGTAAAGTATTATAACATATCAACACGTACCTTGAGTTTCTGTTCCCCGAAGATCAGGTCCAGCAGGTGGCCCTCTTTCATGAGAACGCCTCTCTCTCTCTCTCTCTCTCTCTCTCTCTCGCTCTCTCTCTCTCTCTCTCTCTCTCTCTCTCGCTCTCTGTGTATGTGTGTGCGCGCAATGCTTGACATAGTTGGATATAAAGTTTCAATTCTCTCCAATTAAGGGCTTTGCACATGGTGTGTGAACAAGAGTGGGATTTAACCCTTCAGTCTGTGGATTTAACCCACGTTTTGACTACAATAAAGTGGGGGTTGTATTCCACCGTAATGGTTAAATTCCCATGTGGGTAATAAGGCGTGTCGTGTACAATTAATGTATCTATTTCTTGCTCCAGTTCATACAGCGTTGGCTATCAACTTGACACAAACACCGGAATACATTTTAGAAATGAAATTCCCATGCACTGAATAGTGCATGGGAATTTCTCAGGTATGAAAGAAATTAGTACGCCGTTGAGGTATCAGTGATTGAGATGCAAATGTGCAGCAATAAAAGCTGATGTTCCATGTTTCCATTAAGAAAGACATTTTTTAAAACATAAACTTGTTGGATTGGGTACAGAGGTAAGATTGTCAGATTTGGATAGCAACATGTGACATTGAAAAAAATGTGTCCAATAATTTCAACTCGACAAAAATAATAAATTAAATATATATAATATTTGTGGCACACCACAAATGTCCATGTCTCTTGGGATCAAAACAGCAGGTTTATATGTGATAGACTATATGTATTATGTGTGTAAACTGAGACGGTATCTTAACAAGGATTTCTACATTATTTTCTGTGTACCCCATTATTATAACGTATGTTGTAGGCTATTTACACGTGTAGAACTTGGTATAATTGCAAAGTATTTTACTACTATTCTAAATATAATTATACATAACTGAGGTATGACACACATGCATGTTTCAGTCGTGTTGCGCAGCGAAACAAAAACAAAAAACATCAAACTCAAACAGCCAAATAATGACGCCATGCGGCTCTGCCTTGTTGATGGCGTAAAACTTGATCCACGTGCTCGCCTCTGTTTACACTGCTGCGTGCTGACGTCACATCGAACCCCACCCCGCACGGCGAGCGCGAGAGAGAGAGAGAAAGAGAGAAAGAGAGAACGAGAGAGAGAGAGAGAGAGAGCGCGCAGGAAGGTCTGCAGAAGCCAAGAGAACAACTTGTAGACTCTGGACGTACAACGCTCATTCCTACAATGGAGGATGCAGAGCAAGGTAATTAATTTGCTGAAATGTCTCTCAGTGACCGTGTTGTTACCGCAAAAATGTTTTCAAACTACTTTTGTCTCACATGGAAGTTTGCAAACTCGCTAAGTTGCGCAGTGACTGAAGTCAGTCCGTTTAGAACATATGCTACTTTTGAAACTCAAATAAAAGTCAATTTTTGTGACGGGGACAACAACGGTGAGACTTTTAGGAGAAATACACATTTTAGATACACCAATAGAGTGTCAATAATGTTTACTTAAAATATCACGGAAGTAGAGTATGACACATTTGTTCCAACGTGTAACCAGAGGACGAGCTTACGTTAGCTCAGTAAAATATAAACAAGGAAGTTGTCATTTCCACTAAAGTAAACAATACCTGGGCCGAAAGTTTGACAGGCACCGTCAATTTAATAAAATGAAACACTTCTTAGTTAAAAAAAAAAATAAAAAATTCTGTATTTGAGAACTTGCAAGCAGGTTACACCTGTTTGACATCTCATTATTAGGTGTCCTCTAAATGTCCCAACTATACCTGCTCTAGTCAAGCCACGCTGTCTACATTTCTGGTCCTGTTTGAACATAAACAGTGCACAAGTTTAGTTTGAAAGTAGCACATTCCTGTCCGTCTATGATGGAGGCCTGTGAGTTGAATGCATCATACATACCATTCTTTATCCTTTCCTCTCCTACACCGGCCTGGACATTTCCATTCCCGCAAGGCAGCCATCTGTTCTCTCATACCTGTCGACCACTCACCCATCCTCCGGATTTGTACTTGCCTGTTGCGATAGTGCGTGTGTTCCGGCTGCAGTTCAACAACAAAACAAAAAGCTTGTGTGTGTGGTTGATCAAAAACACGAATTTTCCTGTATTTTATTTGCATATAACATGACCTTGTAGTTATTTTGGAAAGAAGAAAGTGACAGAGGTTTATTTGTTCACCTCAAGGGGAGGCCAGGTAAACAAGGCTCGGCCCTGACCTCATTTCCCTTCGGTGAAAACATTCTTTGACCCCCCTGCAGAAATGTAATTTCCTGATGTCTGCATGCTGTATATTGTGTTTATTGGCCTGAAGGTGGAAAATATTGTATATTCAAATGGAAGGCTCGGCATATTTCATATGTTGACGGATAATAATGTGAGCTTATTGATTTCAGACTGAAGGAGGTCTGTTATTCACACAGCGCTGTCAGTCTCTATGTCATCTCGATGTATCTTTAAGCAAAACATCTTCGCCACTATTAGTTACGGGCTACTTGTCTGGCTGACGGTCTTGTGACTGTGGTTCCTCTTTGGTTGTGTAGTTTTCCTGTGCTTTACATATACCTTCAAGGTTTTCCCTGACATGACATTATTTCCACCTTGTGTGTGTGTGTGCGACTGACCGAGCAGTTCAGGCAGCAAGTATCTAAAGTTGCCTTTTGTGGCTTTGAAAACAGATGGAAAAACAGTTACATAGCAGAAGTACAATTTCATATTTTATTGTTCCTTTAAATATTAACTATACGAACTGATGAGTTCTCTTTTTCTTTTTTTTTTCTTTTTTTTTGTTATAGTCTCACAGTCATGGCAACAGTGAAGTTCATTTTATTGCCACGCTTTTTATGCAGGACTGAATGTATCTCGGCACCATCTGGTCCGGCGTTTCTTGTCAATGTTTTTCCTTGTCACTGCCAGCTGGACTCAGCCTGCTCAGCCACCAATGTTTCATTGTTCATGCGTCTCCCCAATCCCAACCTCTCAGCCCTTACTGACACGACCATCACACGGACGCATATCTCTGATCTTTAAAAAGGTGCGCTACAGTAAGAGCTTCGTGCTCTCTGCAATCACTGCAATCAACAAACTGTAGCAGTAACACTCAATCGGCTCTTGTTCTTGTAACTGTATTGTGTTCTTGCACGTTTGTCAGTATTTCAGGTGAAGAATTATAAAGAACTGGATGTGGATGAGCTAGGTTAGCAGGTTTTAGGAGGAGGGAGGTCGGTGAGCATATTGAGTGTTCTCAAAGGAGCTCTCGGGGGAGCGGAGTGTGCTCTCCTCTGATTGGGTTTGAGTAGATGACCTCTATGATAACAAACATTTCTTTCTTTGTGCTTGCTTTTCCCTGCAGTTGAATGGATTTTCCAGTAGTAACTTCAGATCAAGCCTTTCTGAGGAATTGATTCAAAATATTTTTTTTAGCAATTTCCATTAAGGTTTTATTCCCTTTTTTAAAAATGCTGCTGAATATCTCACTCCAGGACTCTCCAAACATGCATGTGGGATTTTGTAGGTTGAGAAGAAAGTTTTTAGACGTAGCCTGTTTTCTGGCATTTTCTGCTTCCTCGATGGAGGCTTAGGGTCTCGGCTCAAATCGGATGTTCAAAGGAGAGAGTCGGACTTGCCAATCAATGTTGTTTTTCAAGCTCGGTTGTCTAATGAGATTGATCATGAGCAGTATCCAACATTTTTGTCTTATTCGATTTCCGTGAGGCACAACTGGATGCCTTCAGCTGTGAGAACAGTCAGAGGAGGTTTGTCACGGATAGCATCCGGCCAACCATGTACGGCAGACTAGTTTGTTTAGAAATGGTAAATGAACATATTTATTTACCATCCAGCCCTGTTTTAAAGTCTGATTTAACCATCCTAAACTGTGCTTTTGATTTGACTGAAATATTTGGCGGCCATCGTAGCTGTGAGGTTTGCTGCACACTCAAAAGGTTAAAAGAAAGCAAACTTATGTAATTCATTTACTGTAAAGGAAAGTTTTGCCATGACTTTTCATATGCTCTTGATTACTGTTCATGTCAGAAACGTAGGTCAAATACTTTCTCTCGTGTTAAATGTTTCATGGTACCGGATGTTTGTTTCCCAAAACGTTAGCTCAAAATGACATCTCTGTTTGCACAGCAGTCATGGTTGTCACCAGTCGTTTTAGAATCGGCTCTTGAAAGGTTTGATGTGAGCCATTTATGCACTAAAACACACTACCCAAAGCTCATAGCCTATAAACAGAAACCAGGTTCACATTTCATCTCCAAGATTAAAGGGGAATCCCCCCGTCTGTTTCACACCTTTGATCTTTGAGCTAACTGACACATGAATGAAAAGTAGCACGTGTGGTATATGATTAAAATGTTCCCTATGGTCTATATAATGGGCCAAGTACTCTCACTATGCTCAGCTTACTGCAACAAAACATCTCTGACAAAACGTTGTAACACAAAGAAGAACCTGAAGAAACTGACAACTTAAATCAATGAGAGGCCATTTCATTCCTCGTCATTTAACTTCTGCTTAATGGAGAATATTTCAATAACGTGTGAGCTTTGGCCAAGCAGAGGTCTCACCTGTCTGGTACCTCTGGCTCCAGATGGAGTATTTTCCAACGTGATACTGTAGAGAGAAACTGCCAAATGGAGCATAGTAGGTGTGTTAATTATCAAGCCTAAATAGCTTAACCGAAGAATTTAATTAGTCATTTAGTCTATTTTCTTTTTCCAGAGATGCACTAAATATTGATAGAGGCCTGATGGCCGTACTGACTCCAGAGAGACTGGTGGAATATCTTGACATCTCTGTATGTCATCTGCACATCGCTGTAGTTTTCCAGGGCTTCTGTTGTGATGAGATATTTGCTATTTCCCACTCAACTCGGCTGTTTTTGTAAACGAAACCTTTTTGAAACAAGGCGGTCGAAATCTTTAATCCAAGTAAAGCGCAGAGTGCCAATTTTAATACACAATCATCAGGGTGGACCACTTGCATATTTGGGATAAGTCGTCATATGTCAAACCTTGTGTTTGAAGAGTGATCCTAACTTGGTATGTTAACCTTGTTTAAATGAACGATTCATGCTTTTGAGGAATATACTCATTCGCTCTCTTGCCAATATTTAAATGAGAAGATTGATACCGCTCCGGTATCTCTACAGTAAATATGAAGCTACACTGCAAGCTCAGTTTAGCCGCAGTCCCACCGTAAAGCCACCCTCCATTTATCTGTGCTCCCTCTGAGGTGTTAACACCCCCTCTTACTGTTTTTCGACGATGCACATGTCATGTGACCATCTATGTCTCATGATTCTCGTTTTGGGCTAACCATGTGACAGGATACGCCACGAATAGCAAGGTAATGGATCCCGTGCGGTGCTTCATTAACCACTTGAAAATATCTGTTTCTGGTTACAGTCTGGGGGCCATGGGTTGTTTTTGATGCTACGTACTTTGATGGAGTTCTTATTCATTAAGCATTTATCCAATTTAAGCATAGCAGCAAATGTCACATGAATCCAGTGTTGCTCATGAATAAGTAATAAGTTGATAGGGCGGCAGAGTGGAAGTAATGTAGAGTATTGTTAAAGTATTCATTGTGATTTAAAAATGTATTCTACCATTAATAGTTGAAGTGTTCCTTTGCAGAAACGGATAAAAGCCATTCTTATAATGAAAATCTGAGAAGCAAAAGAAGAAAGATGCTGAGAAGGATTCATTGTCCTTGATGCGGGCCTAATTTTAGTGCATGTTGATACTTGACAGTTGGCAATGAGTGACTGACATTGCTGACATTGCTGCATGGAAGCACAGTGAACCGAAGCCTGACTACAGATCAGCACAGCCTTGCGTGACCCAAGTGGTTTGAGACTGTACAGAACATCATCATTTCTTTCTCTTCTGTATGTAAGAAACGTCTACCTTTCATATATCTCATAGTACACACTTCTTTAAGTTTAAAAATTCAATTTAAACCTCAATTCTCCTCACTTTTCTACTATACTCTGGTTTTTAAACGGAAACGTATTAGTGTGGATGTATCCTCACTTTCTGACTATTTATGGATGAGTCTCTACCTCCCACCAACCCTGCTGTCTACAGAGGTACACTACATATTTAGTAGCATCTACATCCAATAAAGTTAGTGCAGGAATGTCACCAGGCTGCTTTTCCTCTTCACTGCAGCCTTGAGAGTTCCAGTAGTTGCTTCCAAACGCTTGCTGTCTATTGATTGACGCTCCTTAAATGTCTGAGTAAATAAAGGAGACATGACCTATTCTTAGTTCCTCTCTCCTGCCTCATCTCTCTCCTTCAAATGCTTCCGTAATATTAAAATAAATATGAATGGTAACTGTTGGATGAGCAAAACAATTTAAAAAATATTTTCAGATATCTGGATTTAATGTACCAATCATCGATTTAACCGAGAAAATAATCTAATAACAAAAATAGTCATTAGTTGTAGGGCTCGTATCAAAACACAAAACGAACAGTGTACATGTACTAGCTCTCTCTACCACGCAGAGAGCACTTTTCCTTAAGTACACACACAATACTAAGTGTAGCCTCTGGCAGCCTCTCCCCTCCATTCTAGCTCACTAGCATTACTGCTGCTTCAAACTGGACTGGCCACCCTGGATTAGCGCTCCGCTGTAATCTGGGACACTGCAGATTATGCTTTTCATCTAATGCCCCCCACAACC